AACTAGTCGCACGTGAGTAGCGATCTTTAAAAAAAGGGAGGAGGGTAGCATATGCAGTAGGAATATGCTCGTATTTTCAGCTTCCCAGCTTTCCCCGTTGCTGAATAGAAATTGGGTGATAAAGTTCATGCATTCCAGAAGACACACAGAGAAAACCTCTCGAAAATATGCATTTTTGCACATATGCAAATGCAAAAACGCATACTGGCAAAGGCTATGTGTTTGTTCGCACTTGTTTGTCACCCACTTTCAACTTGTGAACCAGAAAAGATAAAAAGCTGAAACTTTAAGGGTATCTGCCTAACACTGTGCGACCCTCCCATTTTAATATTATCATTCGCGTACACCTGCGTGCCGTGTACGGATGCCTTAATATGGAAATTTTTTGGTAGAAAAGTGATCTTGGGAACCAGACTGGGTAGGGAGCTAAAACTTTATAGGGGCATTCTCTGTGCATGCGCGGGCTGAAGATTTCAAATTCAGCCTCTAGTTGTGCGTAGTTCTCACACACAGGCACACAAAGTTTTGGCGGTAAAATTGCTAACTTGGAAAACAGAAAAGCTGGATGGCTGGAATTTTAGGGTAATGTTCTTTGTCCAAATACAACTTAAAGATTTCAAATTCAACCTCCAATTATGCGCTGTTCTCACTTATGAGCACATAATGGTTTAGCAGGAAAATTGCTTACTGAACAGTTGGATCATTTTCAAAGAACGATCGTTAAGCGGAATTACTTCAGTTCGGTGCAAAAAAGCATGATTGAACCGGTAAGCTTGGTGCATTTCAGCCTGGGTTGCATTTGCATAAGATGCAAAAACACATAATAATTCGAGTTACTGTCTTCATTCACTTGACGTTTGGGAAATGAAACGAAGTTCTGGATCTGCCGTAAAGCGGTTACGAAAAATACAGACACGCAGGGCCACTTTTTGAAAATTTTAATTTTATACAGTTGTAATCAGCTGTATTTTGGTTTTGGGGGGGGGAGGGGAGAGGGGCCATGACAAGCTTGTTCGCCTCAGCAATATTTCAACCAATTATAATGTAAGTCACATATGAAAACTGAGTTGAATTTTACAGTTTCTGATCAGAGCTTGCAGCCCCTCCTTTACAACAACGCTATTTTGAAGACGTAGATAAAATTTTGTTGAAATATGGCCTAATGGTCAAGCTCTGGCTACAGCAAAGTGATGTTTTCCTCAAATATCAGCACTGCATACGATCCTGTAACAGATAAGCTCAGGATTATCAAGATCGTCCAGGCAGTAGATTGGAAATCTGATTTTACTGTGGAACGTACCTAATACGTCCGATGTGGTTCCGTGCAACAAAACGAGGGTTCACGCGCTAAAATGAGTAATTTAACAACATGAACGATAGAAGAGCATAAACACTGGAAGGAGCATCTGAGAAACTGGTGACATTATTATCTGGTAATCCCTCTTTTCTTGCGTTGGTAACAATTTGACCTGAAAGGCCGACAAACTTAGTTTTAAAAAGAAAAAACAAGATTGACCTTTTATTGGTGAATAATTCGAAGTTAATTGCACGCTGTTGTGCGCCGGATAGTCGTGCTCGTGTTGAGCGACGTCGCATACGATGTTGTGGGTCCACTCGCAGCTGACTGGAATCACTGCTAGCTAGTTCTGTATCTGATTTGGCCAGAAATGCGCAGCCGAGCGAACCCGCACGCATACGCTTAATAAAATGTTCATCTCGTACTTGCAGCATTTTGTTAATTTTAGCTTCATCAAAGAGCAGTTCCGAAGCTGATTTAACAATTCCTGCACACCAAGCTTCTACCTAAAAAGTAAAAAATCATTAATCATAGTTCTGCTTCACAATTCTGAACGACGCATCTCTGACGATTTAGATTAGGAGCAAAAAAAATCCTTAAAATATTTTCGAGAAAAATGAAATAAATAATTTTCGAAAAAGGAATAAATATGCGCTTCTAAGTAAGATCTGCAAATGTGCACCACCCGAAAAAAGCAGAAAAACAAAGTGCGCTTTTCACGCCGGTCAGAAGTGCACCGTGGTGACTTCAAGTTCCGGTATTTTAAATGCATCGGTGGTAATGACCAAACTACAAAACAATATTTTCTGACTTTTAATCTATTTTTGCATGTTCTTGTATTTCTGTCTAGAAAACTGCATAGCAGAACTTAAACAGGTGAGGAGAATGAAATCTCAAAAATAATCCATCTCTTCAGAGGCGCTGCTCGGTTTTTCACTTCCTTGCGAGTATCTCTTATGGTCTATACTTCATATCTTTAAGACAAGCACAACTAATTTTGTCCTGCTAACTAATTTTACTTTCTCA